GGTTTTAGACCATTCTAAACAAGAATCTGCTACTATACTCAGATTTTTTTCTAAAAAAAATCCTAATAGTACTTATTGAAATTTGAGCCTATATAAATGTGGACACCCTGTACAGCCGCAGAAATAAAACTAAGAGCCAAATAAGTGCCAAATTCGAGTAGATAAAAGACAAAAATGAATTGAATCGGTTGAAAAATAAAAATTTTAGAAGGTGGTCAGTCCTTAAGCGCTGTATGTAGTTTACATCCTCTTGAAAATTAAGATAATTAACGTGACACACGCAAACGTTGAACCAATTTCAACTAAGAAAATCCGTGCGTTAAATTCCAATAATTATGAATTACGGACAGATCGAACTAGTCTGTCAATATTTATCAATGTCAATGGTGGTTACACGTAGGAAAATTAACTTCATTGTAAACAAACACCTTCTCAGTTTCGTACATTAATTATTATTTTCCGTACGTTAAGTTAAATTAAGTGGATGTAAATGACTCTTTACTCAATTTCACTTACTTGGAATGCCCCCGACAATAGCAAAATTAGGGAAATCTGACGGAAGTTGTGATATGTAAAATAAGCGAAAAATTTATGAAACGTCTAATTTATTATTGAAGAAAACCGTACCGTTCTCAACCTGAAAGTCACGAGGGGAAAGAACACAGCAGAGAGACCCTCGATCTACATTCCTCAAAAATCAAAGCATGCTGTGACACTTTGATAATAATATGTAATTGTAAGTCAATAATCAATAATAGTTTAAATTAGGTACCGTCTCTGTTCTGATGCTAAAATTTTAATTCCACACACTACATTCAATCAACACCACCTATATTCAATACTGAAGAGTTTTTGGTTAGTTAGCCAGTCTGCCAGCAGGTACTGAGGTTCTATTCGGGAGGCTACTCAGCTATAGTTGTTATTTTGAGCCAATATCTCTAGACTGATCTTTCAATTTATTTTCTAGGATATTCGCTCGTCAGGGTAGGAAAATGTTAGTAGATTCAACAAGGCCCTAATGCACGCTCTGAATACCCAAAATCAAAACCCCAGCACAAAAGACAGCACATAATTTCTTAGGTTTTAAATTCACTTTTTATCTGCGGTGTTCACAGCATGAAACGATTTTTGTTAAATACATGAACAATGCACATGTTATAAAATATGTTATAAACAAACAAAAAAACATAAAAATGAAAAAAAAAAAATACTTGTATAAATTGAACTCTCAAAACAAATAACATTTATTCAGCTGACCTGTGAATGCTCCTTATGACACACAAACAAATCACAAATTGGATTGAACAATCAGTTTTATACAAAATAAAAATTAAATAATGAACAATGGCGGACACTAGCTTGTTCTCTAGTCTCTCATTTTCTTCTATCTACCCTTCTGTACCTTTCTGTGGCGTGCCCTCGTTCTCAAAAATTTCACAGCGCATACATGGGTGCAACATTCACCATTTGCTTTTCTATATCTAGTAAACAATTTTTTTTTTTAAATTTAAGATTTGAAAAAATAATATTTTAAACAGGTGGTTTTCCTCACTAACTTAAATTTTAAACCAATATTTTTTAAAAGATATGTAGATGATTGCATTCTCTGTGTTCCGGAGCACAAACAACAATTTTCGACAGCTTCAATAATTTTCACAATAAAATAAAATTTACCATAGACATAGAAAATAATAAAAGCATTAACTTTCTAGACATTAATATTACACATAACTCAATCAACATAACAACAAATTGGTACCTACACTAAATCTATCTGGCCAGAAAGATACCTTAATTTTAATTCTCACGCGCCAATTAAATATAAAAAAGTGTCGTGATAGAGCCTTGTTAATTTCACATCCAAAAAATAGACCGACTAACCTTTCTAAAATTAAAGACACCCTCAATAAAAACAATTACCCCCAACATTTTTACGAACCCATTTTAAAGAAAAAAATTCATAAATTCTACAACAACAATGTTAAAGCTAATAAGAATCCCATTAATAAAAATAATAAATATATCTCCCTACCCTATATCCCTGAAGTTTTCAGTAAAATACAAAAATGCTTGAAGCATTATGAAATTCAAATTGCTGAAAAATCAAATAATTTTCTTAAAAACATTTTTGACTAAACTTAAACCCCCTATTGAAAAAGACCTGCGCACTAATACCATTTACAAAATCAACTGCCAAGATTGTGATAGCTGCTACATTGGTCAAACCAAACAATATATTCATGAAAGGATAAAAAATCATAAGAATAGCTTACCTAAACCAGACGAAAATAATACTGCGTTAACACAATACTGCTTCAACAATCCGCATCAATTTGACTTCAACAACTTCGTAATCATTGGTGAAGAAAAGAACTAGGGTACTTGCATAAAAAATTAAATTGATTATTGTTTATTGCAAACTGTACGAAATCGAAAAAAAATCGATGCGTGTTTTTTTATTTTGTCCAAATATGATTATTTCAGAAGTTATACAAATATTGAGTTTTGTATATATAGATATACTGAGCATGTGCGACGTCACAACTCGCAACGTATTATACCTAAGTTATGACGTCGGAAGGACATTTCAAAGCGTTGTATCTCCGTCAACTTTTAACTAACAAGAAAAAGAAAAAACACGTGTTGACTTATTTTTCATGGACTATCGGAATCAGCAATAAAAAGATTTAATGCAAGGAGCCTATTTTTCAAAAAGACTTTTCCAGGGAATGTACCAAATTAAAAAGAATCAGCATTAAATTTCATCAACTTCTGCACTGATATTGAGAAATTAAGCAGTATTTATGATAACTTTAAACTCATAAGAAAGTTATAATGTTCCAAGTTGAACTTGTCTTCGGTTTTTCTTGTTTTTCTCTAAATTTTGTGTTGCCACTCATTTGCAGTTTTTTTATCTTCCAAAATATCATACCTAATATTTTAACATTTATATTCAATAGGAAGTAATATACGAACGTCATCTAATAAAAAAAAAAACACATAGCAAAACCAAGGAATGCATACCAATTTTACTTTGATCTCCATTCCAGTACTACTTTTGACAGAGAATAAGCGACAACCGATTCTGCATCTGTTTTTTTTTTTTTTTTTAAACATGTTTTTGGATTTTTTTGTTGTTGTATAAGTTCACTCTGTTTGTCATTTAATGTAACATCGTCTTCATCATTATACAAAAAATAATATTTTAAATGTTCAAAATGTAAAAACATCTGTAAGTGCTTTCTTTTTGTGTCTTAAAACGTTTTTTATTTTCCTTTTTTTTTATATATATTTTTAGTTTGTACAATTTTGACTTTTCAAATTCTGAATATGGAATGAATAGGAAATCCGAAACGTAGAAATTTAAAAAAAAAAAAAAAATTCTACTACCGTCCTTAAACTACTCACTTTACGCACTATTCAGAAGACGTAAAATTCCACTTCACGCACTAGTGCGTAAAGAAATTCACTTCACACACTGGTGCGTAAAGTAATGTCAATGACAGATGTTGACACTGTCACGAGTATTTTTCTGGTAAATTACTTCAAGCACTAGTGCGTAAAGTGAAAATACTTCACGCACTAGTGCGTAAAGTGAAAATACTTCACGCACTAGTTCGTAAAGTATTTGTCTAAATCTATTTTTTCACACATATTTGATTGGTAGTAGAAAAAAATTTGTATGCAATACGTGCGTAAACTCATGTGATTGTCGCAATCGCCTTCGGCTCGTGCGTCAAAATTCACATTCGTGAAAAAAGGTTCACTTTACATACTTGTTGCATAAATAACTATTGTTTCACTTTTCAACCTGACTGACTCACAATAAAAACCATATAATAAAACCAATAATAACCTATGGTTCGGTTGTGTTGTCTGAGGTACATAGATCACACAGACCGTGCGTAACAATCAGACAGCTTCAAAGTGTGTAAAGGCTAGCCTGCGTATGCATCACGGGGGACATGAAAACAGCCCCAATAGCAGCCCATGAGGTACTGCAAAACATGACAGGTCTAGAGAACGCACTTTAAGGACAGATAGGAGACACCAAAATAAATCTGACAAGGTTGCGGTGGTAGAGGAAGCCTCTGCGCTCTGCGCCATCTCTATCTGCTTAGGGCTTCTTTATACAGATGAAATATTGTCAGTCTGCAATATTGGTGATAAAACCGATCATCGTTGGGCCGCTTTATCTTCACATTTTGAAAGTATCTATATTGTATTCATTCTCTGCATCATTCTCGATCTTTGTGAATGTATTTACTTGCTTTGGTTGAGAATGTGTAACTTTTTTTACTGAATACACAAAAAAAATAATAATAAATTACAATCAATAGATACCTATTCTATCATTAAATAATTATCTGCCACTTTCCAAAAATGACCCCGCATTAATTTTTCACCACATCTAAGCCGCTAGAGGCCATCCAACGTTAATGCCATCTAATAAATTTCAAGTTGATTAACTTATTTCTATTATTAATCGAGGGTCTTAAGCCTCAACACATGAAAATAAGCTGTTATCCGTGGACGGTAATCGGATTATGAATTCTTCAAATTATTTACGGAAAATAAATATATGGCCTAACTGTTGTGTGGATTTTTTCTATCCACACAGAGGATGACTTTATAATAATATTAAGGCAAACGACCTTCGGGCTTGAAGTAGATTTTGGTTATAATTATTATTCTGTTATTAATTGTTTAGCCTGGGATTTTTAGTCTGTATTATTTTTCACTTTGGTTTGTCATGATCGTGACCTTTGAGCTACCTATTGTTTCGATGGGAAATTGAAAAAAATATTAGTTTTAGTATAAAAGTTGTTTGTTTCTCTTATATAGGAAAAATTTCTCTAAGGACCTCGTTCCAAGTTCTCGATGGAGTGATAGTTGAATCAAATATTTTTATGTCAAGTTGGATAGTGTTCTGAGAATACCATTTTCATATTAACTAGGTACAGAACAAAGTAAATTCATATATTTTTTTTTTTTTTTAGATGCATAGCAGTACTCAGAGGAATCTTCGGTCAATCGGGTGTACCTCAACCCAAAGAAACTGTAGTTACTCGTTGGCGAGCTGACCCGTGGTCACGCGGCTCCTATAGCTTTGTTGCTGTAGGCTCCTCAGGCTCTGACTACGACTTATTAGCCAGTCCAGTGATACCGCCTAATCCTCAAGGCGTGTCAGTGACCTCTGGACCCGCAAGATTATTTTTTGCTGGAGAACATACTATACGTAACTATCCAGCCACCGTTCATGGAGCATTTTTGAGTGGATTGCGCGAGGCTAGTAGGATTGCTGATCAGATTATTGGAAATCCTTGTCAGCCAGAACCGGCAGAAGAGAAGAACTAATTATTATACTTTTTATTATTTTTATTCAACTACTTAGAATTAGTTTTTATTATGTATCAACAGCTTTACAGGTTTGAAAGCCAGTAATGTTTGTTTTAAGTTAAGGTTTTTATTATGAATTAACAAATAAAAATACATTGGTAATTGTGTCTTACTTAATTCAAATAAATAATATGTTAACAGCATATAAAATGTGTTTTGTGTATTAGCCAAGAATCCCAAGTATAAAACTCGAGCAGTTGACTTATTTTTAAAAGGTATAGTATCATTAAACAAGTCAATACAAAAATAACCAAAATTGCTTTGCTATAAATAAAACGATTTGCGAAGCTTATAATCTTAGTAGGGAATGAACGTTCATATTAATCATTTTGCCTAAATTTACATACTTAATGAACCGACAAAATTAATTTTCTAGCTAGTTAAGACGACGGTTTTTCTCCGCGTGCTTCTTTTTATCCGGTTTGTTTATTTAGTGTTCCGTTGTAATTATAATTATCATTTTTGTTGTTTTGCTCGTTAATTATTCCCAAGACTGATAAATGAAAATGAATTTATTAGCTATCACAAACAATTATCATTTGTTAATAACTTACGGCCGTATTCACCAACGACCGCTAACTGCTTATCAGTCTGATAAACTGCTTGTCAGACTGTTAACGTAAAATTCGGTATTCACCAACCTTGAGTAGTAGATATCAGTCTGATAAAGTTGTCAGGCGAAATTTGGGCTGTTAAGGAAGTTATCTGTCTGATAAGTGTTATTGTTATTGTTTTTTTTTTTTCAAAAAAAAATCGAATGTATCGATAAATCGGAAAGAATAGGATGGTTCGTTAAATTTTAATTTGTGGTAGGTACTTTATGAGTTTTTATTTTTTGGCAAAATGAACAGAATGGATGAAATTGACCTGAATTTTTTTGGAGGTTCATTGGATGATCCATACATCAGATGAATATCTTCCCAGGCCCAGAAATGTGAAGGCAAGAATGATTTATTCACTGAATTGTATGATTTGGAGTTTCATAAAAAATTCAGAATAAACGAAAATAGCTTTCAAAGGCTGAAAATAAACCTCTGAACACTGAACCTAGTATTGGATCGAGCCATTGCGGACGAAAGAAATAAACCAATCTAAAAAAAATCATATTTTAATTGTAACCGGGTCTTTTCAACTTTGTATTGTGGTGACCATTTCAATGTTTCACCATGAATGTTTCACAACAATCACAACCAACTGCATCGGTTTTCTTATTCCCGATTAAATTTTTCTCAACGAAGAAATTAGAATTTCCTTTTCGCGACCAGAAAGCTGCTCCGTTTCTTTTTCCATTTGGTATTCTTATACGATAATTAATTATTATTAGACAAATATTAGGATTAGGAAGTTGTAACAGGCCAAAATTGCACAACTAATTCTTAGCTACTTTCAATTTTATATTCAAGATTTCCTTAAATTTGTCAACATTTTCTCTCTATAAAATTTCAACAACAATCTCGACGGTTGTAGATCCTTTAAATTTCCTAATTTTCAATGGTCAAATTCTATTTCCTGTAATGGTTTTTCCTCATTTTAATCCATATTTTAATTCAATTTCAAAATTAAAACAAATCAATATTTTGATTCCAATTTTAAATTCGACTATCTGTTTTCATGACAAAAATAATTCATTTGTCAAAAATATTTCGTGGGGTTATGTTCCGAAATCATAATGACCCGTTTTCAAGTGTATGTACAGAACTACTCCGTTCGTACTTACTCTGTTCGGTTATTGAGCTATTGATCTCGGAGCAAGTTCTAGTGAACCCCGGGTCGATCATTGGTTCGATAGCCTTTTGAGATTTTTTGCATTATCCTTGCTTTCGGTTTTTTGACTTTTGATTGTCAATAATTTCTGTCAACCGGCGGTCGATTAGTAATGTTTTTAGTATCGTCGATTCTTTTTTTGAGCCCACTAATTTTGCAAACGGATCACTTACTCTATGTTGTATTCTTCAAGTTATGATTGTTTTATGGGATAATTATTTGTTGTTAATATCATTATTCGTTAGCCGTTGTCATTTTTCTCGGTTTGTATTGTTATGTGCAATTTTTGGTAAGTTAGAATTCTATCGATTAATTTTTGATGTTTGTCGTTATTCTGAATCATCTATGAGTCTGAATTCCTCCCTTTAGGTTAGCCTATTGATCGAATGTGTAGCACATTTCTTTTCACATCTGGACGTTGGAGAATTAGGGTGTTTTTGAAGATTGTCTTCGCCCTTGTGGGATTTCGACCTTAAATTCTCATTTGAAATTATAACATATTTAGTTGCCTTTTTGCCTTACGTTTTCGGAGTGTTATAATTTTCGCCGATTAATTCGGATTTTTACAACTCCATGTGGTAAGTTTTTCAATTTTATTTAGTTAAAAGCTGCCCTAAAGAGTAGAGTATTCTCACTCACTCCAGGATATTCAATCCAGACCTCGATCCAGATTTCTAGTGATTTTCGAGGCAAACAAGCCCTATTTCCAACAGGTAAAAACATAACCCTCGACATAACCTTATTACTTCAATTTTTGCAAACTCGAGGCACATTTTTCTTAATTAATATCAAAGCTTTACTATGATTTCATCTAATTTAACCCTCGGGCAGGCGCGCTATCTGCCTTTTATGCCGCCTTTTTACTAAGTCAAGGATTTTGCAAATATTTTGGATTTTATCATATTGTCCGTCTAGCTATGCTCAAATGACTATATTAGCAAACCTACTACGAACAATTTACGACCTTAGAGCGCTTGTTCAGATGTCAGTGAGTTCTTGAACTTGCAGGTGTTGAGTTTTCGGCATTCCGTACTGCCAGCGCGCCTGGTCATGTAAGTAAAATTGAAAGGGGAATAGTACAAATATTATGAATATTATTTTTGTGTTCTTGCGAAATTAGTATTAAGGATTTCATTTAGTTGCCTAGAATTTCAATTTACTTAATTTTTTTACTTAATTTATTTTGGATCATTTCGTACAATTTTCTGCAGGCGGCACGCAGTGCCGCAGCGCGCCTGCTAATGTGATTTTCAAATGCGCGCCCGCCCGAGGGTTAATTAATTAATACATAATTGTTCAATTTTTCTATTAAAATAATTTTCAAGAGCTATAGTTTTTTTTATCAGGTAAATTTGCTATTGGAAACTAATTGAGTTACATTATAGTTTCATTTTCTAATTCAATCTATTCATGAAGTGCTTCGCTATTGGTTCAATTACAAATACAGTGTGTATAACAATTTTTCTCTTAGGTTTTTTTTTTACGAGGGGTTTTATTTTACCACCGGGTTTTTACTCCCGGTTACAACAATAGACATTCAATTGTAACCGAAATTGAACTAAAAGGCTATCAGACACCAGCCTACGTAATTGGACGGTTACTCAAGTCTTCAATCAAGTTAACCACAACCAGTAGCCAGGACTAATCTGGTTAATTGTATAAACCGCCATCACCTGGAACATTTTGGTATCGTACTAGTTTTAGTTAACATATATATTATTATTGTTTATTTACATTCTGTCTCTATTTGTACACCACAGTGATCACTTTCGGTAGTTCAGGGAGTAATTCATTGCTTGCCCCAGTGTGGCAAATGAATTATTAAATAGGTAACTTAACTAGACATAACCTGATTAATTTAGGTCAACTTACTGGTAGTTCTGGTTACGTAAGTGCAGAGCTGGGAGTAACGACAAAAAAATAGTTACTTTACTTTAACGAGTTACTGAAAGTAACGCGTTACTTGGTATATTCGTTACTTTGCAGATTGATTGATAGGTAACTGTAACGACGTTACTTTCCTGAAGTGACTGCAGATCGTTATTTTGTGAAAGTAACGAGTTACTATGGAAGTAGCAGGTTACTATGAAAATAACGCGTTTATATGGAAGTAACGCGTTACAAGTTACTATGAAAATAACGCGTTCTCCCAATTTGTTTATCTTCTTTACAAATAATGGACGATTGAGGAAAAGGAAAATAAGTAATCCAAAAACTTTGTATGTCAAATAAAATGTGGGTAGTAGAGAAAATTAGTTTTGAAAGCTCAAAATAATCGTTTTTGGGCGTGGCACGCGCCGCCTCTGCTCTAAAGACACTATATGCAGACACTGGGCCCCTTCAAAAAGCAGGTTTGTCCAAAACCAAGTTCTCTATTTAGTCGCTTAAACTTTGATCCGTTTGAATTTTGCAACAATACTCTTCCACATAGTCGGACTCACAAACTAAAAACATATTGGCATTTCGTATAGGTCTTATTTGATTGTTTGGACTGCTATGTTGGTGTGTCAAATTAAGGAATAACGCAATTTTCGACGTAAATAGTTATTTTTGAAGTAACGCGTTATTTTAAAAGTAACGCTTTATTTAAAAGTATTAGCGCTTTATTTCAAACGCGTTGAGGTAACGGGTAACTTTCAAATAACGAGTTACTGTTAAGTAACGAACTACTTCTAAAGTAAAGAAGTTACTTTCAAAGTAAAGAAGTTACAGTAACGCGTTACTTTCCAATAAATAACGAAAATAAAGTTATCATTATTCGAAAGTAACTGTAAATTTAAAATAACGAGTCGTTTTTAAGCAAAAGTAACTGTAAAGTAACGCGTTACTTTTTTCAAGTAACGATCCCAGCTCTGCGTAAGTGTAAGATAACCGTTCCGAGAACTAATTCTGCGTTATTGGTTTTTTTCTTATTTTCTTTATTTTTTTTAGATTTTCAAACCTTACTTTTCAAATATACCTTTTTTTTTTAATTACTCAGTTAGTTATTGAGTTTCAATAACATTTTTGCATTTAAATTCAATTGTTCATGACTATAGAAATTATTTAAAAATTATAGCATTTCTGTATTTGTTAGTTAACGCTTCATGACAAGGTCATTTTATTAATTGCTGATTTACTTTATTATTATTTTTTTTTTATGTCAATGTCCATATCGTTTCATTGTGGACTGCGGCCATTTGGTAAATAAACAA